GAGCTCCACCGAAGGCCCCAGTGGCTGCGCCCGCATGCGGTTCCACCCCCCATTCTGGCACACCCCTCACACGTTTCGTGGCCCCATAGGGAGCTCCACCGAAGGCCCCAGTGGCTGCGCCCGCATGCGGTTCCACCCCCATTTCGGCACACCCCTCACACGCTTCGTGGGTGGCTCCATGGGGAGCTCCACCGAACGCCCCAGTGGCTGCGCTCGCATGTGGTTCCCCCCCCATTTCGGCACACCCCTCACACGGTTCGTGGCCCCATAGAGAGCTCCACCGAAGGCCCCAGTGGCTGCGCTCGCATGCGGTTCCACCCACGCCCTTCACACGTCTCGTGGCCCCATAGGGAGCTCCACCGAACGCCGCAGTGGCTGCGCTCGCATGCGGTTCGTCACACCACCCAGAACCCCAGGCGCTTGCGTTCCAGGCACCTCGCATCCATAGGGAGCTCCACCACCCAGCACAGCGTTCCCAGAACAGCGCTTCGTAGCCCTATAGCCCGCCCATGCGTCCGCCACCACCCTGCGCAGCCCTTGCTCCCTGCCTGCGTTTCACCCACCCAGTACAGCGTTTCGTGGCCCCATAGGGAGCTCCACCGAAGGTCCCAGTGGCACCGCTCGCATGCGTCCGCCACCACGCAGCACAGCCCTTGCTGACCGCGTCTCACCCACCCAGTACAGCGTTTCGTGGCCCCATAGGGAGCTCCACCGAAGGTCCCAGTGGCACCGCCCGCATGCGTCCGCCACCACCCAGCACAATTGCGGCATTCACAACTGCATATGGTTGGGTCCTTCGCCAAGCTAATTTTCGAGAGCGCGAGCCTAGCGTATTTTACGAGGGACTCCAGCCTCGGGAGCGCGAACCTGGTGTAATTCACAAGGCAGTCTGGCCCTGGAAGCGCGAACCTGGTGCAACTTATGAAGGGATCTGGCCTCGGGAGCGCGGACTTGACGTAGTCTACAGAGGATTCTGGCCTTGGGAGCGCGAATCTGGGGTAATGCACAGATGTGATCTAGCCGCGGGGGCGCGAATCTGACGTGATCTACTCCGGACTCTGGCTTCGGGAGCGCGAAGCTGGCATACTTTACAAAGGATTATGGCCCCGGGGGCGCGAATCTAATGTATTTCAAAGTGTCCCAGGGCCCCCCGGGTAACCAGGGTGGTGTTCGGCTCCCCCGCCTCGCGCGGATCAGGAACTCGTTTGCAGCAGGAAGCAGGAAGTAGAGTGAGAACACTGGACACCGGAAACTACACTGGAGCTGTGAACGGGACCGAAGAGCTCAGGATTGGTACCTGTCGCTGGATGTCGAGCCTCGCAGCCAGGTGACCCCAGAAGTGGGGGCCGGCGGATTTTTGCTTCTCGCTCGAGATCGAAACATCCAGAAGCGCGCTCGTGAAGATGCCAAATCTGGCGGCTCTCAGAGATACTTGGAAGCTTGCATAATGGAGACGCTGCGCCTAAAGACACCTCTATTTGTGCCAAGGCGATGTTTAGAAGATGTGGAGGTGCTTGGGTTTACATTGCCAGCTGGCACGCTGATCTTGCCAGATTCCTATGCGCTGGCTCACGATGACTCTTTGTGGGATGGCGGATCCGTGGAGAGCTTTTGTCCTGAACGATTTCTTGGACCTGAAAAACCTCTGCTTGATCAGCTGCCTTCTCTCAGGCCATCGTGCCCTTTCACAGGACGGTCCGGCAGGGACGATCCAGCAGCAACCGCTTTCAAATTCCTTCCTTTTGGAGTGGGTGCTCGATTCTGTCCTGGGGCCCCGTTGGCTCTGGCAGAAATTCGGATTTTCGCTGCAGCTGTGCTCGAATCATTTGAGTTGCAACCTCCGGAGCCTGACGTAGATTTGTCAGAAGCATATTCCTTCACGTTGACCCCTGCACAGCCAGGGCACGTCATCTTCAAGTCTCTTGATTGAGTTTATCCAGTACGCACGCCTAGGCCACTGATGACGTTGGAAGAATGATGTCGATTCCATAATATTTTTGAGTAGTTGTGATCTGATATCTTTATCCAAGACGCTTCGCGTTGACTTCCGCCCTGTCCAAACAGCTCTCCCTGGGATAATTTAAGACGGCCCCAAGGCGGGCTGAAGACACGCCGAAAGAGGTCCAATATGGCCGCGCGGGAGGCCAACTATGGTCCTTAGACTGGTCAAGATGTTGACCCAAGACTGTCAACGACTGTCCAAGAGTCTCCCCAAATGGTCCAGAAAGAGGTCACTATGGGCCCAAGGCTGGCCCTCGCGAGAACATCCCTGTCCTTGGCCCGATCGCCGTCCGCACATCATCCATTCCAGGCCCAGGTCGGATTGATCTGGGTTTTTTCGCGGCCCAGTATAGATTTTTATAGCCGCCAACACGTGAATTCTAAAAAGTGTCGGAGAGCATTGAAATGGGCATGCAGAAATATGCCACAGACGAGCCCCCTAAAGCGGCTATGCGAGGTGCCCAGGCAATCCCAAACCAGGCGAACATGGTCAAACATTTGTGGGTTCCGTTATTTTCCGCTCCCCCAACTCATCAAGACGCTACGGCGAACCACCGCCGTCCCCTACCTTTCCTGGAAATGCCGATGTGACCAAACGTTGGGCCAACGCTTGGCCGAGCCATTGGAATCTTTGGGGAACATTGGGGGAAGGAAGAGAGAGGATGACAAGAGGGAGCATGAGGAGGAGAAAGAGGAGGAAGAGGAGGAGGAGGAGGAGAAGGAAGAGGAGGAGGAAGAGGAGGAGGAGGAGGAGGAGGGAGGACGAGGAGGATGGGGAAGGAGGAGGAGGAGGAGGAGGAGGAGGAGGAGGAGGAGGAGGAGGAGGAGGAGAAGGAGAAGGATGAGGCCTCTTGAGGCCTTCTTGGGGCCTCCTCTGGGCTTCCTGGGAGCCTCGGCCTCTGAGGGGCCTCTTGGTAGCTTTTTTCGGTCCTCTTTGGGCCTCTTGCAGATGTAACCCGTTACGGCCGACCTCTGCGACCCCATCAGCAACGTTGATCCGTCCTTCCCGCGCACTCCTCAGTCCTTTTGCTATCCTCTTCCTTTCGTGTCCACCTGTCTTGCCGCACTCGCAGCTGCATGTGTTTGTTCGTGTCCCGCCAGGCTCATTAATGATCAGTGTGTGCGGTGCCAAGGCGAGAGCCCCATGTTGAACATGAATTCCCTCCATCCGTGTAGCTGTTGTAAGTTACAAGCTTGAGTTTCGCAAGCGGTGAGGAAGTATCAGGCGAAGCGCTTGGCCCGCCCTAACAACTAGTCTGGACATGCGGCAGGGGGAAGGAAGAGGGGAGGGGGATGAGGAGGAGAAGGAGGATGAGGAGGACCAGGAGCATGTTGTTCTTGCGGAGCAAAAGGAGTGACGAGCAAGGAGAGAAAACAACGAGGAGGAGTAGGATGAACATGATGATGACGATGATGGTGGTGGTGGTGATTCTGATGATGGTGCTGATGCTGATGCAGATGCTGATTATCATTGTGATGACGCCGATGACGGTAATGACGATGCCAGCGATGATGATGCTGTTGATGATGATGCCGATGATGAAGCTGATGTTGATGCTGATGCTGATGATGATGGTGGTGATGATGCTGATGATGAGGATGATGACGATGATGATTGATGATGATGCTGACGGCGATGATGATGCTGCTGCTGAGGATGCTGAGGCTGCTGCTGATGAGGTTGCTGCTGATGATGTTGATGTTGATGATGATGATGATGCTGATGATGATGATGATGATGATGATGATGATGATGAGGATGAGGATGTGGATGCTGGTGCTGATTATGATGATACTGATGATGCTGATGCTGCTGCCGATGATGATGCTGATGATACTGCTGATGCTGATTATGACGCTGCTGCTGACGATGATGATGAAGATGAAGAAAACGAAACTGATGATGCTGAGGATGAGGATGAGGAGGAGGAAGAGCAGGGGGAGGAGGAGGAGGAGGAGGAGGAGGAGGAGGAGGAGGAGGAGGAGGAGGAGGAGGAGGAGGAGAGAGAGAGGAGGAGGAGGAGGAGGAGGAGGAAGAGAAGGATAAGAACGAGAGAAGGATGGAGGAGGAGGAGGATGAGGGGAGTAGTATGGAGGAGGAGGAGGGGGAGGAGGGGGAGCGAGGAGGAAGAGGAGGAGAGGAGGAGGAGAGGAGGAGAGGAGGAGGAGGAGAGAAGTAAGGAGGAGGACCAGTGTAAATCAAAGAGTCATCAACGATGTTGTAAATAACCCTCCCTCCAAGCTCTCTCTTCATAGGCCCCTACAACGGTTCATTCCCATTGAGGGAATTCCCTCGTTGGAAGACACCCTTGAAGACTCTGAAGCA